ACCTGGCGGCTCCCAGAGGGCCAAAGAGAACCACTGATTTCCTCTGATAGCCAAACAATAGCACCCACGCCCTTAGCTTGCAGATAACTACCCACCAAGAGCAACCGTCTCTTTGATTGGCCTTATCTTTGCCAAAGCATTTGGAAAGATAAAGGCATGAGGTTAGTTAGAGCCAGAGGGACAGATTCAGAGAAAGGCAACGAGAGAGAGAGAGAGAGAGAGAGAGAGAGAGAGAGAGAGATTCGTCCATTGATAAATACGGCAGGGTTCACCGTGGGCGGGGCACTGTCCAGCCATAGACGCCTCTGTCCTTACAATAGACCAGTGGTCGGCAAACCTCGGCTCGGGAGCCACATGCGGCTCTTTGGCCCCTCGAGTGTGGCTCTTCCACAAAATACCATGTGCGGGTGCACACATACAGTGCGAAGTTGACTTAAAACTTTAAAGTTTATTAAGTTAATTTTAGGGAACGTTGTGGAGTGAGAGAAGATGTAGTGTCGAGGATTGAGAAAGGCATGTTGAGATGGTGTGGACGTATAGAGAGGATGAACGAAAGGAGATGGACGAAACAAGTATACAAGACAAGTGTGGATGGGAGAGTTGGAAGGGGTCGACCTCAGCGAACGTACCTCAATCAGATTGAGGACGTTTTTAGCAAAGGCCAGCTTAGGAGCACCCTAATTAAGTTAATAACAATGTACCTACCTATATAGTTTAAGTTTAAAAAATTTGGCTCTCAAAAGAAATTTCAATCGTTGTCCTGTTGATATTTGGCTATGCTGACTAATGAGTTGCTGACCACTGCACTAGGCGAACAGTGATTGTGAAAGACAGTGAGGGCGTCTCAGTGACCTTGAGAGGCTGCGCCCTGAGAAGACAGGTCCCTGTCCCTTACCCCAACTTGTCCTCATGGACGTTCAGTCCCATGGGAGAGTACAGCACAAGGACCATCCATCCTTACACCCACCACCCAGCCTCAGCAATGCCCAATGGCGTTGCCATCTTTCCTTTTCCTAATGTTTTCCTCCCGAAGCATTTAAACTAACCCGCAGTCATCATGACCTTCACGCCCGTCACCCCGGCGTGCATCTCCTAAGGGCAGGGGCCTCCGGGAACCAGCCACTGGCACCCTGGAGAAGTCTACCTTCCCAGCCCCGCTGCGGGCCACACCTGTTCGAACCGTCCACATGGTCACACATCATAAAAGGCCTTTACAGTCCTCATTCTCCTAAGCCAGGACCCAAGCAAGACCCACTGTGCATTTGGTGTCTCTTTAACCCACTGCTTCTAGAACATTCCTCCCGCACCCTTCCCCAGGACTATCTGAACAGGCCAGGATGCCATCTAGCATGATTCTCCACCCCTGCATCTCTCTAAGTCTAAGCTGTGGGGCCTGACGACCTAGGGTGGGGGGTGGGGGGACGCGTGGGTGAGGCGCCTATATGGCCCCTGGAGGGAGGCGGGGCGCATGGGTGAGGAGCGTATATGCAGAACTGCCTCCTGGTGATGGCGCGTCCTCATCAGACACAAAGGCGCCCTCTGCTGGCGCCAGTGAGTTCCACGCCTGCGACTGTAAATACCAGGGACGTGCGAGTGCTCAGGGGGGGCCGCGGTTACCCCCCCACCCCCACCCCCACCCCTTAAAGGCGGACTTACTGTGGCTGACTGTCCAGCCCACTCGCTCTCCTGGCCCGCCCGCTGGCTGATGGTCAGTGCACTCCCACAGGGGGAGCACCATTCAGCCAGAAGCTGGGTTCACGCTGGCGAGCGTAGCAGCGGTGGTGGGAGCCTCTCTCACCTCTGTGGCAGCACTAAGGATGTATGGCTGCCGGTTTAGGCCCGGTCTCCCTGCGGGGAGTTGGCCTAAGCTGCCAGTCGGACATTCCGTGAGGGCTCCTGGACTGCAAGAGGGTGCAGGCCAAGCTTCTCCTCCCGATGGGACAAAGCGCCAAACATCCCTAACCCGCGGAGGACAGAAAAGAAAGCTCCGGTGACTAGGACGAGTGCTGCGGGCAGGGGCGCGGGGACCCTGTCGGGGATGTGCCCGCAGAGACCTGGCGGGTATCCTCACGGGTTCAAATGAGTGGATTTCCCCAGTTACGGCAGCAGTCTCTCCGACACCGTCTATCTGGCCCTTCCCTTTCCAGTGATTTCTCGGGACCCCCCACCCCGACCCCTGCCCGGGGAGGCTGCGGGGCGGGAGGGCGCCGGGCG